TCACATAACGATACTGGTGTCAAACGCCCTCTACAGAAATTCACAAAAAATGTTTATAATACCTGTACTAAACTTCATAGTTGAGAGTTTAGTTTTTAGTGCATCTCGTGGTTGTCAGCTCATCTAATCTGCTAATCCGATGTATGTTAATCTTCAACAGCTCAGCTGGATCAATAGCAGGAAATGTTACCTATTCTACTCGAATAAGTCTTTCGGTGACAGAGTATAGTAATGAAAAGTTTTACCTTTAATTCTTCCATTGATGGGCGAGATGACTTTGTGATCCAATTTCATAATGTGAAAATAGGTCAGGGAACGGTTCTTAAGTCTGACATATACTTGTTCAGAATAGATAATAACTTATTTCTTTCTAGTTGAATCTACAATTTCTGATATATTTAAATACGTAATAAATTATTTAATCAAACTAATTATATATGTAAATAATTAGTTTTAGTTTTGAAATGTCTACAATGCTGTACGCACGATATGGCGTTATATAAATTAATCAAAACAAATCCATGGCCCAGTAGTTAGTGTACCGGACAGTGAAACCTAAACTGATGACACATTGCCGAAAAAAATTGCCCTACGCACTTTCGGGTTTTGTATGCGTTATAAGAGTGACGGTCAAATCTATCATTCGATTAGAGTAGCCCAAGATTTGGCGGTGGGTGCTGTTGACGAGCTTCTTTTTCCCCTAGTTTATTAGTTCAAAATTAGGGGCAACTAGCTCTTATGTAGGTTTGCGCGAATACCTGAAACAAACCAAACTAAGCCATCTGCAAACTTTTGCGGCTTAATTCCACATACTTCAAATGAAATAATTTTAAAGCGGTTTAATAAACAATCTATGATATTGAATAATTACTTCAAAAATATTAAATATACCAAGCTTTTACTTAACACCCATAACCAAGTATTCAGGTCATGCCCTTATCAAGAAACTTAATTTTTACATGTAGTGGTAAAATGTGGTCAAATTTATATCGGTAGAAAAATAGTAAATAATCATAACTGGTATATAGGACCTGAAAGTTGCTAGACTACTTGTTTTAGGTATTAGAAATCGTAGAAAAATATTGTTTAAATTTTCCGAAGTCTTGTGACTGAGATGAAACTTATTGTCAGTTAAGTAGTGACTATGTTTTAAAACCTTTGTATTATTTTTATTATTACACTGAACGAAATAACGTGATGAACTGACCGTTTTTTTAACATCAGAAGTTTGAATGATTCTCATTGGGCTTCATACAAAAATACTTAAATAGAGTGGCCTTCATGTCAGTATCGGTATCCAAAATATTATATATATTTATATATAATACATGATAATAATAAATAAATTATATAGGTGAATACCCGAAACAAAGCAAACCAAGCCATCTGCAAACTTTCGCGGAGTAATACTACATACTTATAAGTGATTTCATTTATCCGATAGAAAACGCATGTTAGATGTCCCGAAAAAAAAGTCCACTATATGCCAGCAAACATTTTGATCAATGTATTTTGAAAAAAAAAATTACAATTCTAAAAGAATTATATTTCAATTATTTCCCTTTATGGATATGTAAATTAAAACATAAAATATTATTTTTCGAAAAATATGTTATAAATTTTTTGGCGCCACCCTAAATAGATAGAAGTAAGAAAGCAGAAGTAACTGGTTGTGTAAAGCCAGTAGGAATTGTAAGACTATGGAAACTGTTACTAAGACTCACAGTAAAGACAATAAAGTAAGTAAGAAAATGAAATTATAGAATAAACAAATTGTATTTTTATAATAACAAGAGAAAATATAATTATAATAAGATTTTAATTTCACAAGCAAAGTATAGTGGATAAACTTTGACTAATTTTATTCATTAGGTCGTCAAGAAATTAATGTCGCGCTTCTGAACTCTTTTATTAACCACCTCCCAAAAACGTACATCACGTATAATAGTTAAACGAACCGCCTAAAGGTCACGTTAGTGTAGCCTGTATAATGTGTAAATTTTAGTATACTCTAATCCCTTGTAGTGGTGGCACACGACGAGACACACATTCGGCATGTAATGCTTTTTGAATACAATAAGGAAAACAACGCCACTGTAGACATAAAGAATATCAAAGAAGTTTATGGAAATATTTTGAACGTTCGTAAGTGTCAACGATGGTTCAACAAATTTTGTTCAGGTGACTTTAGCCTTAAAAACTGTGATGGCAGGGGGCCGACATGTTGGAATTGATACTGATGCTCTGGAGACGCTTGGTGAGTCTAACCCAAAGCAACACACTCGTGAAATGGCTTTGAAATTGCATGTCTCTCATCAAACAATACGTAAACATCTAAGGAATATGGGAAAACTCCATAAAGAAGGTGTTTGGGTGCGTCACGAACTCTCCGATGGTCATCGTTTCCAACGTGTAAACGTTGCTTCGTCTTTTCTGGCGCGTAATAGGCGTGAACCATTTTTGGACAGAATTGTCACTGGTGATGAAAAATGGATTATCGATGCGAATATTAAATGCTAAAAACAATGGCTCAGTCCTAGACAAAAACCACTTCCGACCCCAAAACCTGGACTTTATCCACAGAAAGTGTTGCTTTGCATTTGCTGGGACATCAAAGGAGTAATTCATTTCGAACTCCTCAATCCACAGCGAACTGTCAATGCAGAGATCTAGAGTCAGCAGCTGGAACATTTAAATCTAGCCCTTCACTCATCAATCGGAAAGATGTTCTTCTTCTCCACGACAATGCACGCCCACATGTGGCACGTTTGATGCACACAAGATTATGTAGTTGGGTTAGAAAGTTCTCCCCCACCCACCATATTCTCCAGATATGGCATCATCAGATTATTATTTTTTTCGTTCGCTGCAACACCATCTTAATGGGAAAACGCATGCAAATGTGAAAGGTGTTAAAGAGGACATCGACATGTTTTTTGCTTCAAAGCTAAGAATCATCTTTAATCAGGGCATTAACAACCTGATTGTAAGATGGAAAAGCATCATCGATAAGAATGGAGACTATTTCATTTAATAAACGTTTTGTTTTGACATATAAGTTGTTCGGGTTTTTTCATCTAAAAGAAAACGCCATTAATTTCTTGATGACTTAATATTTTTGATCATTTTTAGTATATTTGACTTACACATGGAATGTATTATATGTTTGTAAATTTGGAAAATATATGTAGTTAGGTTAAATTATTTATGTTTAGTTAAAAAAAACAGTATTTGAATTTCTTTTTTGATTCTCAGTAAAATTATATCCAGAAAAAGTGACTTTCGAAGCCACAAAACCGATCGAAGAAATTAATAAAGGAGAGAAAAATGATATAGTCTGATATTCCAGTGTTTAGCTATACATATATGAATATATATATAATTATATGTAATAGTAGAATATTACAAAAAATTATATTTTTATCAATAATAATTGAAGATGTTAAAGTTTAACGTTTATTTAAAATACAAATAGAGGAAGAAATCGATGGATGGTGAGATAAAGATGAAGACTTCTTTTTGAAATTGAACGAGCTCTTGTTATATGCATTGTTAAAAGCCTCTAAATAAATACGTCAATGTTTCAGCAGACAAGATGTAGTTTTTGAGTATAAGACCTTGAGTCTTTGTCTTTCATGACCCACGGTAGCTCAGTTGTAAGTACGAGAGCTTATAACGTTCAAATTTGAGAATCAAACCCCGCGTTTGGCGCAGTGAAGATAGTCCAGAGTGCAGTTTTGCTTTCAAACAAATATTTGTTTTTCAGTTGAGGCTAATCATGTAAAGATATGTACCACCTCTAATTTGCTAACCAACGGTAGAAAAAAACCCTATAAAACAATCAAGCAGTTTGACCGTTATTTGCGTATGTTTAATGGCAAATTTAAAAAAGAAAGGCACGTAATACGTGAAATGTACTTTTCAAGATACTACTGATAATATATTAAAGGAATAGCCTATTTCTGTATATAAATCTCGTATATATGGTTATATAAGTACCTTAAGGAGTTTTTGAATCCCCATTTTCCTGGCATTTATTTTCTGCACAGTTTCATCATCTACGTGTTAGTATGTCAGTAATAAATTTGTGGACTAAGCCAACATATAGGATAAAAACAGTCTCCCAGTGGAGCAGCGGTAATTTTGCAAGACTTACAATGCTAAAATCTGGGGTCGATTCCACAATGTAGACGAATCGTAGATATTCCACTGTGTAGCTTTGTGCTCGAAAACTAACAACCACAACAACATAAAAAAGAATAAGATATCCCTCAGACCCGAACGGTTTCGAAAAAAGTGTGCCTTCAAATACGATGGGGAATCGGGTTTCTTTCAAAAATTCGAAATTATAGAAATGTTGTGGATTTTTTGAGGCATCCATTTACTTTGTAATTTTATATAATTTTGTACACTGCAAATTGATTTATTACAACTATAAAAAAACTATTCAAATTCTCACAATTAGAAGCAAGATTTCGTTTTGTGAATGGAAATGTTAACTCTCAAATTACCAACTAGTTTTTCATAGTATTCACTTCTGGTTACATCCACATATTGTCTCATATTAATTTCTTTTGTCTATTACAACACTCAGTGTGAAAGGCACTGAACAAACAAGTTGTGTAAAATCACTCACTATAAGTACAATACCTCCCTCCCCCAGTAATTAGTGGTATTACTTGCAGTAATGATGGTATAAGTACAATACATAGAATACCCCTCCCCCCAGTAATTAGTGGTATTACTTGCAGTAGTGATGGTATAAGTACAATACCTAGAATACCCCTCCCCCCAGTAATTAGTGGTATTACTTGCGGTAGTGATGGTATTTTGTTTTACATTTTTGTTTGTGTAACTCTGGGTTATTAAAGACCACTTAACCAATAAAATGATGTAATCACGAACAATTTGGTGCTTGAATAGTTTAAAAAACATGGACCCCACTTGTAATTTTAGAATTATTACTTTTCTGTTAATGAAACCACATAGTCGTCATGAAGTAATTATATGAACATCTTTATTGACTTTCATAACTAAGAAGCACACAAAAATATTTGCAAGATTATAAATCACCTTAAATCTAAAGTGAAACGTTTGACAAGTATTTCATAAAAATGATCTCCATTTGCCCAACAAATAATGCCGTATAGCCATATACCACTTTCTATGTTTGTCAGTTGGATTAAACATTCTAAAACCACGGTTTGATGATTGAAGAGTCATTCCTACCCCGTAACTGTTGGTTTAAAGGCTGAAAAAAAGAAAGTATAATATAGTTAAAGTTGACAGTAATTTTCGATTTGAAACAGTAATGAACATGTGAGGAAAAGTTACAACGATACTCGTATTTCATGAAAAATATTTTTTCACTTACCATTCTAATCAACACTTTCTTTGCGTTAAAATTATTTTGTGTCAATTAACAGAAAATACCTCAGTCACTGGGTAATCTGATAGTGGTGGCAATGTGTAGAATGGCATAGAAAACTTTTGAAACATTTTACTTGTATTTTTATTTAAAAAATGCACAGATTGTGCTTTTCTAAGATAAAGCACAATATCTCAGAATGTTTCTTTATAACTTGAACCTAGATTAACTCAGCAAAATTTCGAGTAACCTTTAAAGTATCACTAGCAGAACCTATAAAAGAGAAGCACAGTAATATGGACTCTACATTATAACATTCGGATCCTTTCTTGTTGCCAACTCTTAGTTTATGATTTCGCTTTATAGTTTGTGCATTAGGCAAAACATGTTTTATGTATTTGTGATATATGTAAAATGCACATGGTTTTGTGTAAATTCCGTTCGTTTCATCAACAGAGACTTACAGTAAAATATCGTTTCTAGAGTTTACATTAAACTTTCATCGTGGTTTCAAAGTGAAATTAAAATATAGCTTTTGGAGTAATTGGATAATCGGATTTTAAAAACTATATAGTTACATCATTTGAACTACTCAATCACTTACCCTAAATTGGTTGCATTGTTTACTTGAATTTCAAATTAATTGTACCCATAGCGATTGTAATAACTATCATAACGATAACCACCGAGACGATAGCGACCGTAACCACCATATCTGTCATAGTCTCCATATCCACCATAGCCACCATATCTGTCATAGTCTCCATATCCACCATAGCCACCATATCTGTCATAGTCTCTATATCCACCATAGCCACCATATCTGTCATAGTCTCCATATCCACCATATCTGTTATAGTCTCCATAGCCACCATAGCCGCCATATCTACCATAGTCACCATATCCACCATAACCTGGCCCATAACATTGATCACCATAGCGACAGCTATAACCGAGACCATATCCATAACGATCACGAAAATATCCAGGGTATCCATAGTCGTATCTTCCGAATCCTCCCCTGTAACGATCATAACCACCGAATCCATCCAGTAGTGGATACGGTATAGCTGAGCATATTGCTACTAAGGAGACGAAAAGGGTAAGCAAGATTATCTGGAAGATAAACAAAAAGCATTGTGTTTTTAATGTCTGCTGTCTAACTCTCCAATAGATCCAGTCATTTTTCCTTTTCATAAAACTTACTAAGACTAAATAGCACGCACAGAGAAGATTTATGGCTATTTCCCTCTATTTTTCTAGTTATATTTGTTATAGATTATACTAAATATACATAAAACTCTAAACGTTTCAGATAAGTTTACTCATAAAATCTGTTTATGGCAGATCTTATCAAGCTAGAAAACATATAGAATATCAATAAAAAAGCAGACAAGTTGTTGACCGTTGTGTGATCAAATAAAAACAAAAATAAAGTAACTTATCAGAAATTCAAAAATGATCTCTCCTTGTCTTTATGAAAGTGCATTTCTGGTTCTGTGTTAAAACTTGATAATTTATGTTATCTACTGAAAGTTGACGAAGATCGCAGCATAGAACATCTCAACAGCAAAACAAGGTGGGAGAAGTCAATGAAACACAGATCAAACGTTTCGATGAAACATCTTGTTATAAAAAACTATAATTTTCTGAAGCGATTCGTTTCGTTTAGTAGTAAACAATTCAAGAACAGTAGATACATTCACGTGCTTTGATGAAACGAAACTTCATTTATCAAGAACTCAAAGATACCAAACTACAAATCGCCCATTAGATAAAACTGAAGTCGAGGGATATATACATATATATATATGTTGCTTTGAAATCCTAGAAAAAACGTTTAGACTTAATAAAACATAATATCCTATTAGCAATAAAAAGTCCTATTACAGGTGATCTGACCGAAACGCGGACAGCTTTTTAGCTATTTTACCAGTGTTTCTTTATGAGCATCTACTTGGAAACTACATATATATTTCATATGCTACATATATATGCTAGATATATATTACATTGATCTTGACACTACTTTTAAAACCTTTAATATGGCGTAATGAATGATTAACTCGTACACTTGGACTTTTAATCACGTGACGACTTTTGAAGTCTTCGAGTGGACGAAAGTAAATAAAATTTTAAACGCGTTGGAAAGTCCTAATATGTAATTTCATCAATCTTCTTCTTATACAATAAAACTAATTCACGAACCTTAGACTTGTTATGTAAAATATACTGTTTTGGGTGTGAAGTTAATACAGTACTCATCAAAATTCCTTCTCTAAGGCTTGGATATAATAAAGTTTCACATAACGATATCTCAAACCTGTAAGCTGTAAAAGCCTGTTCTATAATTTGTAAAGGTGCGCGGTGTAGCCTAATGGCTGGCCTGTTTGAACTGTGATTCCGAGAGTTAATGGTTCTCGTTCTGTTTCTGCAAGAATGCGCTTCGCACTTTGAGGTTACGGGTGCATTGGTGGTCAAATCCTACTATTCGGTCATACAAAAATAGTCCAAGAGTTAGTAGTGGGTGTTATTGACTAGCTGCCTACTGTTTAGTCTATTAGTTCAAAATTAGGGACAGTCATGCGCAAAATGCCCTTGTATAACTTTGCGCGAAAATTCTAAACAAACAAATATTTCATTACGCTACATATCAATCTTTTTCCCCAGTCTCTTGTTTTCTTACTTGTAATTTGGACCATGTAGGTGAAAAAGTCGTTTTGCCGTGATTTATGTTTGATAAATTGCTGTTCTTTTCTGAGTGCAATGCTACGTAATAGGCTATAAGAACCCTGTCACCCATGAGGAATCGAACCCTGGATTTTAACGTTATACGTCCTTAAACGTAGCGCTGACCCACCGGGGTACTGACTGTTTTATAAAAATGAATAGATCTTGAATAGCTAAATTGGAAACACTTCGACTTAAGTAGTAAAATGTAAAATGTGTAAACCATACAGTTTAATATAACAAAGTTAGTTTATGCGGTACAAACAATCCCATATTCCATATCGAATAAGCTAATTATTTATTATTTTTAATCCTTTGAAGAAATGTTCTCACACTTAAAACTTTCATTCTAGAATAAGATATGATTTCGTTGACCTATGCACTCTAAGGTCAGGTCATATGTAATATAATGCACCATTCTTTTAGTAGTAAGCTATATCATTTAAATCTCTTCTGTACGTCAGAAACATTCTTCCTGATGTAGAAAACAGGTAAAAAATTAGATAAACATTAAATACAAGAGGAATGTTCTTAAAGTAAACTTGTAACTATATATATAATAGTAAAAAATACAAATTAATATTAACTTCTGATACTTACTTACTTACTTAGTAATGTGCATAGCTAATTCATTATAATGTTTAAACTATATTACTTAATAATGTGCATAGCTAATTCATTATAATGTTTAAACTATATTACTTAATAATGTGCATAGCTAATTCATTATAATGTTTAAACTATATTACTTATAATGATTAGAATGCATCGTTTTATTAGTTGAGTACATTATTGAAGTTAGAATATTGTCGCTTAATGCCTAACATAAATTTCCATTAAACATTTAACCTATAATAACTAATAAAATAACGAATTGAATCGCTTTATGTTCGAAATTACTGAACTTTTTAAAGGGAGAAGACATCAAATGATGAAAATAAATATATTTATAACTGAAAATTAAAGAGACTCGAAAAGCATTAAAAAAATAATGTCGTTTTTCAGACTCACTTTGACCATATTTTCACAGTGAGATCTTCTGGTCTTCTTACTTTGGGGTACTTTCTTCAGAAGTCTGGCAAAAAATTGTGTAAACGCTTGCCTTAAATATCGTCAGATTTCCTGCTCCAGCGCGTACTGCATAACATCGTTACACGTCGGTGCCAGGTAATGGAAAGGGAATGAACGCAACACCTAGTGCAAGCAGAAACGAGAGAAGTCAAGGTGAAGCTGAAAAAAGGTATTGTACTAGGTCACTGAAGTCAATACGAAGGTCGCCTGGAGTTAAAGACAGGATATGCATTCATATTTTAATCCATAAGCTTAGTCATTCACTTAGGACTCGTGTTAGTATTTGTGTTTTAACACCTTATTACTTGAACACTTTCTTCAATCGCAACGAAACACTTCAATTCGACAGAGCTTTTGTTGAAAGCAGAACGAATCAAAACGAGGTAATGATAAGTGAAAGTGTCATTTTGTTTATTTTAGTAGCTGAAATAGTGAGATAAATTTAAGTTGGTTAACATTTTATATTCAATAAAAGTGTTGTATGTGTTTTGGCTGCGGGTTGCTCTCCATCAATTAAATTGCTTAAGAGTAATTCTGACTTATATAATAAGTATAAGAAATATTTGATCAAGAAACTATTATAGAATTTTCATATGAAAAGCTTCAGAACAAAATAATATATTTTAGTGTTAATATTTCAATACATTACATTTCGGGTCTATGCCATCCATCAGATGAATGGGACTATGTTCCATGGAAAATGAATTTGTAGCGGCCTCTAGAGTGTTAAAATAAACAAATATTAAACTAAAAGGTTTTAAATCAAATACAAATAACCCTAAATAAAAATATAAGTAGAATTGATTGAAACAAAAATGAATAAATAAATAATAAACAATAACCAACAACAGCACCAAGTTAAAAAAATCAAAACCTTTCTTTTATGTCTTGTGTTTGATGCTCATAAGATGATAAATGGCCCGGTGGTTAAGGTGCTCTGCTCCCAATCTGAAGGTCATGAGTTCGAATCTCTCACCTGGCTGAAAAAGTTCTAGATTTACAAAATTACCAGCCGAGGGAGGAGGGGATCCTGCTGAAGGGCAAATCCCGAAACACAGAGTACAGACGTATTTAATTTCCATTAAAGTTAGCTTTATCAAAGTGAGCAATCAACGCTTATCATTTAAATTTTATTTATTTCAAGAAACTCTCATAGAACATGTCCAAGGCTTTGATAAGTTAGAAATGTTCAGTGATATTTCTGCTCCAGGATTAAACAAATATAGCGCTCATTATTGGAGTCAATAATAAACACTTATAACTGTATTTCGAGCCATGTTACTAAATTAATAGTGACATTTCACACTGATTTCCGGCTATTGACTATCCCAGTAGACTCTACCGAACAACAAAACCGAATTTTTAGATTACCTGATATTTTTACACAGTCCATGCTTGTTGTTTTGTAGTATTATGTGGTCTGATATTTTTTCTGACATAACTGTCTGTATTAGGTACTTTTAGTTGTTTGAACAACAAAAAATCTTTACAAGTTTATTAACTGTATTAAGTTTTAGCCATGGATCCTTCATAGTTACTCTAAAGGAACTTATTAGTGATGCATTTTATTTTACATACCAATGATAACTTAGTTTATTATGCTAAATATTTTCCAGCATGGAAGGCGAAATAAGAAATTCAGCTTTTCAATCAGTAATTTTTTAAACATTAAGTAACAAAATTAAGAAGAGTTCCTTTGATACAGTAACAAGCTTTGTATAACTCTGTATTAAATAGAGGTATTAATATTTATATGTGCGTTAATATTATGTTGCAACAAATTAATGTCGAGTTGAAGAAGAATACTTTACAAGATGGTTTTGTACAAAATCTGGATAAGAAAAATCTAATTAATTAGTAATAATACTTTAAAATGTCTATGAGTTGAATTGTAATTTTTGCTTTCTTATTATCTGCGAACTGCCATGGTCTTGTGGCTAGAGAGCTCCATTCGTAATCTTTGGTTCATAGATTCGATTCCCGTCACTGCACATGTTCTACCTTTTAGCCGTGAGGGAATTATAATGTGACGGGCAATCCCAATTTTAGTTGGTAAAGAGAAATCCATAAATTAGCAGTAAGTGGTCTATCACATCTAAATTAGAGATGGCTAGTGCAGATAGCCCTTGATTAAGCTATTACCAAAACTCAACAAACCAACAAATTATTACTATCTGAGTTAGGGCGCTTGACTCGTAATCTGAAGGTCGCGGGTTCGAATCCCTGTCCCACCAAACATGCTCGCCCTTTCAGCCGTGGGGTCGTTATAATGTGATGACCAATCCCACTATTCGTTGGTAAAAGAGTAGCCCAAGAGTTGGCGGTAGGTTGTGATGACCAGATGCCCTCTCTCTAGTCTTTCACTGCTAAATTAGGGACGACTAGCGCAGATAGCGCTCGTGCAGATTTGTGCGAAGTTTAAACCAAAAGCTATCTAAGTTTTCTTTATTAAAAAAATTATTACAGTGTGATCATACCCAATATTTTCACTCTCATTTCATTATTTGCTTCTTAAATTATCACATTAACTAGCAAATTAGTAGCTCAGCGTTGAATATGACAGTTCATAACTCTAAAAATCGGTTTTTGATACCCATGCTGGATAGATCACATATAGCTAGCTAACTGTGTAGCTTTGCGCTTAGTAACAAACAGACCCATTATCCAATTACTTATTATCTACCCTTAAGTTTAATTAATATCATTATACATAATTTTATATTCAAACATTATACCCTAATTTTGTAATGTTCATTGGAGTGTAAAAGCTATTAATTTGTAAATTTCATGAAGATGTTCATGTGCAAAAAAAAACCAATGGCTGAAACATATTATTATACGATATTCTAGGCTGACAACGTATTCGCTGTAATATTTAGCTACAATAAGATTTATGCTTATACAGCGAACAAAATGGATTGGGTATAGCCATTTTTATCAACTTCTGTGCCTGCAATTCATCTTATAAAAATAATATGTTTGTAATGTTAAGATTTACTATTTACTATTTTATTTCATTTTATGTATTAGATACGTCATTTTTTAAATATTATAACTAACGAAAATAGTAAAAAAAGGCTTGTTATTTCAAAAAATTCAACAGTGCCATTCAATTGTTTGCAGATAAGCACAAAGCTAAAAATTTGGCTACCTGTGGTGTGCCCGTCGTGTGTCGAAACCTGATTTTTAGTGTTGTAAGCACTCAGACTTACTACTCTGCCACTGGGGGCGTGCCATTAAATACATGTAAAATTGATATTTCTGCGAATGACATTTTCAAGGCCAGATGGATAGATACATAGGTCTTCTTTTTCTCAATTTTACTGTATTTTAAGAAGAAATCTGGTGATTGCAAAACGTTCGTTTCCATGACAACAGTTTCCGGCATACTTGTTTTGCGCTTTAGTGCCTGATTCTTATAACCAAAATTGTATCATTTATTTCAGAAGCAAAAAAAAAAAACAAAAACAAAAGGGCCATTTTTTTTTCATAGAGTAACACATTTCTGCCCCTCTCTTACACTATCCTAGTATTTTTTCGAAGCTAAAAGAAAAAAAAACTTTATAAGACATTTGACGTTTTTCATTAGAAAATATGTAACCACACCACATATCTGCTTACAAATTTTAAAGGAAAAAATGCACTTTTTAAAGTGACGAAGTAGCTTTAATCATAACGTCATTAACTCCCTCTGTTGGGAAATTGTCACAAAATAATGGTTGTTCATTAACACAATATACACGTGTGTGTGTATGTGCAAAAGATCAAAACGTACTAATATACCATAATAGAGGAAGAGCGTTTTGTCAATTGGAAAAATTTGAAATCGAGGCCTCCTCTGACGGTATCTACACGTATTATATTTTACTTCTTGATGCTTTGTTTCTTTGGAAAATTTTGTTGCGTTATTATGAACCAATTAAAAAGTTTAAAAGTATCTATTACGCTTAAAGATTATGTTGCTAGCGCTCTTTTGAATCTTTATTAACTCAACCAAAACGCTTATGTCGTAAATGCTCTATTGAGGACGCACGTAATTTTATGACCAATAATGTTATAGTAATATATATAGGTGAAAAACGAAGAGTTACTATGAACTTATACAAAGAAACATCTATAGAGTTATTAGATTGTTTCATTGATTACTTTTTGGTGGTATACTGACGAAATGCTCTCCATTTTTAATTAGCTCTCAAATTTGTCAACATACAGCTGCAAGAAAATGTTTGGTTTTCTTCTTTTCCCGCCATCTCCCGATGGTGGTTCCAATTGTTTTCTGTAACATCTATCTGTGTAATTACAAAAATATCCTTGAAGCTATTAATTTGATTTTTTAGGCTAGTCTCTATTCACTAACACCCTTTTTTTGGGAAAATTGTCCGAAATATAATGGCTCTTCTCTAATACAATATTCACGCGTGGGTGTGTGCAAAAAAAAATCAAAAGGTTCTAATATACCATTAAAGAGATAGAACATGTGTGAAAAAAATCAAAATCAAAAGGTTCTAATATACCATTAAAGAGATAGAACATGTGTGAAAAAAAATCAAAATCAAAAGGTTCTAATATACCATTAAAGAGATAGAACATGTGTGCAAAAAAATCAAAATCAAAAGGTTCTAATATACCTTTAAAGAGATAGAACACTTTGCTAATTGGAAAAATTTGAAATCGAAACCTTCTTGGAGAAATCGCCTGGGTCTTAAGTACACAGTGTGTAATTTGTGTTGGAAAGTTCACATAAATCAAACAAATGGTTTTTATATTGTCAATAACGCACATATACACAAAACCATTTGTGGCATAATATTAACTCCTGGTCCTACATAAGACAACAAGAAACTCTCTGATATTTGGGCTCCTTAAAAGTCTGAATTTATTCTTCGTCATTTGTGCAGCTGTGTGTTGACGGAATTACGCAAGAAAATGGACTTTACAAGAAATGTACCTTAAACCATGCTTTCTGTATTTCCTAGTGTATTGAAAAGCTAGACTTGTCAGGATTTCAAAGACGCTTGTGTTAATAAAAGAAAAGGTTCTCCATTAACCTTATCTTTCCAATCTTGTTCT